TTAACACAGAAAACGTTTTACCAATGGTTATTTTATTTACATTGTTCTCAGCTACTTATTTTGATTGCATCCACTTTAATAAATCATAGTGTTCCTGAAGTCCCCATGCAAAGGTTAAGACTGGACCAAAGATTTATCATTTAGATGAATGCTGTCCTGATGCATAGTCTGGAAAAAATGGGAAAATGTAAGCTATATACACATACAGACATTTTTCTTTTTAACATAAAAGAAAAAAAGAGTGCTACAGACAGCAAATCCCTGGATTATTCAAAATAAGAGGTGATAAACAGCTATAGTATTCTGAAATATACAAAGTAAACAGAACCAAAATATTAAGGGAAGATCCTGCATACTTTCACTCACATTACTGGCATAGATCTCTTAAGCAAAAACACAAAAGAACAAGCATTTTAGAAACCATGAGAAATGATCGCTAACCCACTCAAGTTAACAAGGAGCCCCATCAACTATGGTTTTTTGGAAGGGATTTTAACCCAGTAATAAAATGGACTTGAAATTTGAAGTTTGCCTTTAAATGTTAAAAGTTTACCGATATGTCTTCCCTCATCTATGACTTCAATACTTGGGGGTAGATGGGGTGTTTTAAGGAAACTGTATTCTCAGTATAAAACTCAACAACGCTCAATTTCCGCAAAAGCGGCACACGGAAGTTGTATTTTTTACTTTCCTTCAGCTGCTACAAAGACGTGTAATCTCTGAATAAAGATTTGAGTATAATTTCTCAGTATACAAGTGAGAAAAGGTTTGTGCAGAGCAGCATTTTTATCAAAGATACTTTCCTCTGCAGACTTTTTCTCATCCATAGACTGTTGCAGCTGCAATAACACGACATAACCCTAAATGACACTGTTTGTTTTTCCAATATAACAACACAAATTGCCTCCTCTTGCTATTAATTAAGCCTGCTTATTATTTCCTGTTGGGTGGGACCTGGGAGTTCTGTGTATTTTTAAAATTAAAAAACTGTTTAAATTAAAATTTTCAAATATTTTCAGTCATGAGCAGATGCATTATTGGACAAGAGTATAAAAACTACAAAACATTCAGGAAATTAAATCAATCACAAGTAGTAAAGAGTTTTCAGAAGTGTGATGCTCTGAATCAGAATTGTTGGGTGCAGAATTATTGCAGGAAATCTAGACTCAAATTTATCACACCAGATAACTACTAAATTTGAAGAAAAATTTGTAGCACGAGCAAATTCATTTGGCAAAGAGTAACTGGACTACCTGAATGGTTGCTTTATTAAGTATCTTTACAAACAGAATTTTTGTGTTTTATTGCTTTCCCAAATGTCAAAGCAGTGAACTAGTATGAAAAGAGGAAACACTAAGATGCCAGAAACATATAAACTGTTTTTCCAGGATATTGTTAGAATAAAATTAGAATGTTTTTGTTAAAACACATTCAAAGCAACTTAGACCAAAGGAATAAACAGTATTCAAATGTATGGCAAACATACTCTGGTATATGTATAATGCTAAGTATATGTAAAAATGCCGAGGTTTGACAGAGCAAAACAACTCCAGTAACTACACTCTATTTTAGCCACGTGGGGTGGTAATGCTACTTGAACTAAGCTGAATATCATGTTGAAATGCTGTTACTTTTTCCTACAGATTAGAAAGAATCACTGAATGTTCTTTAGAAGTAGTTCTAGTTCACACAAAGTTGCTCATCAAAGTCAAATTGTAAGTTAAAAAGCCACACATACCCATTTCGTAAGCCTTAAGTGTAATGAATCATCAATATTAAACAGCAAACCTTTTCCTTTGGGGGGGGGGAGGGGGGAGGGGGAGGAAAGAACAGCATTTCTGAGAAGCCAAGTAACAAGCAAACCCAAGATTTCAGAAGTCCAGTTCACATAAGGTTTGCTGTATCACCAGGTACTTTCACACAGGTTCTGGGGTCTAACTGAAGACACAGTCCCTCATTTCATGAACAATGACACCAGAGGAGGGCTCAGAAAATAGAAAGGGCTGTTACCACTGCAATCACAAAAGTCAGCTAAGGGACTCTCTGTGTCCTTTTGGTTTCTAACAGCCACTGAAAATGTAACATGACAGAAACAGTCAGTTAAATAACACCAGCAAGTGGAACCAAACAGGTAGAACAGAGTCCAGGGCCATTACAGTTATACCCTAGGTTTCAAATCTACAGGTGCAAAGTGGTTACTAAGGCTTTTTTTGCTGTTGTTTTTTTACAAAGAAATAGTAAAACTCCTGCAGCCTTAATTTTCTACAGTAGACTATAACAAAAACCACTTAGACTAAACTGAGACCCAAAAAACTTCTGCTCACTTTGGTTTTACTTCATTTTTGTGTTAAAATCTGTATGAACAGACAGAAATATGACCTTTAATAGAAGCAAACAAAAAACAAAACAAAAACAAACAAGTGCAAGCAACACCACACAACTCAGACCTACTTTGCTCTTGATCTTTTGATACCAGTACAGTTTACCCGGATGATGTAATGAAATACAGAGGTATTTTAGTTTAGCTAACTCTGCATTTTAAATGAAGAAAAAAAATATATCTGGCACTGCTTTTCAAAAGAACATAAACATTGAAAGGGGGAAAAATGCTAGTAGTAGCAACAGTAGCTTCCTCCTTGCACATGGCTGTCAGCTCCACCTAAATTCTAAACAAAGGATTTTACCTTGAGACTAGAATAATTTGAAACATCTTTTAAGGCCTTACTTCTGAAACTGTCAACAGTGCTTCAGCAAAATAGACAGATTTTAATGAAAGCAGTGAAGACGACTCACTGAATTATTTCTGTGCTCAAAATTAGATGCAAACTTAGTGCCTGACTGACCTAAGGGCACAGTTAATGACAACTGTAATTATGATCTTATCAATGTAAAACTTCATAAAAGTTCACAGCTTATTCAAAGGACATCAAATTACAACTTCCACTTCTAAAATACCTGTGTTGGAGTTAAAAGTGACCAAACCCAGGAATTTCTTTTTCATTACTTGCCTGAAACATTCTCTCCTCTTTGTTTTATAATAGCTGTGCTATTTTGTGTCTGAGAACCAAAGAAAAGCTATCAACATGTTGGAAAAAAAATTTTAACTTTAGATCTAGTTTTCATTAGTTGCTTAGGGAAATGAGTAACGATTTTTTTAAGACTAATACTTCTGGTTTTAGAGTTGGCAAACATTTACAGCATGGAAAGGTGAGATGATTTTAGCAAGGATATTTTGAAGCAACCTATGAAAACACAGAAATCTCTGAAGATCGTGGAATTTTCTCATCACCAGCTACATCAGAAAGCCAACTGTTAAGTCAGTAAAAAATATACTGTCTTTCACTGTACCTTTGCAACTTCAAAACAACATTTACTTTGTATGCATATAACTATTGAGGAAGCCTTGAACTTTCTGGTCAGCATAGAGCATCCTTGACAGTAAAGACTCATAGGCCTTCAAACTCGGTTCCTGTCCTTCCAGGCTCAGCAATGACAAGCACGATAACATGAATTCCTAACTGCACTTATTTCTGGAGTTTCCATGTATTGATGAGACAGTAGCATGGGAAGATTTTGGTAAAAGGCAATGATGAAAAGGAGGAGTATTGTTTACATGAAAACTCAAAAATCTATTAATTAGCAAGTTTGCATGAGTGATATTTATTTGTAGGTATCCATTACTGAAGTCACATAATGCCAGCTCAATGAAAAAAGGTAAATTTAGTATTAAAATCGATTTTTAAAGTCAAATACATAGTAATGGAGAAACAATTAAATAGCTGTTTTTCAATAAATGAAGTAGGAAATTTTAGAATGTGCATATAAATAAAGTATCAATGTCTGCTTTCCACTCTCTCACCCTCTGCCCTTGTTCTCTCCCCCAGCACACTTTTTTTTCCCAGCAAACTTTTCTGATTCCAAAACAGATACGACAAAAACATTGCTAAGTTGCTGACTGAACTAAGCGTCTACAGGTATGAAGTTTATCTGCTACAACATTATTTTTTAAAAACATACAACGTGACACAAAGTGATACAAAGCTGTTCTCAGTTTTACCCACCTTAACTGTACTCAAAGCATATTCATTACTTGCCTGAGAAAATAATTTCATGTTTTGATGACTCTACTGCTGATTGACACTTCTTTCTTTAAAAAAGGGACAAAAGGCAGAAAGAAAAAGGCTTTTTCCCTTCCGTTGGGAAATTATTTAACAGATCTTGCACATGTTTCAGCACCAAGTTTCCTTGAAATCTCCACACTCTGTGGCAGAACCTAATTATAATGTTTCAGCATAAAGGTCAGTTAAATTCTTAAGGTCTTAAACTCTAAAGCCAGCGAAGTTTAGGGAACAGAGGATCTACCTCTGGATAGTTACAGGCTGCTTTTTCCTCTTTCGTTTTCTCAATTAAACTGTAGTCATTTCTGTAGATTACAAAACACTGCAGACAGGATGACGTCTTAGAATGACGTCTTTGCTAATGCTTTCCTAGAATGGGCAGCTACATTCTCTTCTGAAAGAATAAAAACACTTTGACTGAAATACAATTTCAAAAGCTGATTCTTCACCGTACATAGCACAGAGACTCTGGATGTCAATAAAAACAGAGAGCTGTATTTTCAACTCTATTCTGTGAGCTTGGAAGTGGTGGTGTAGCACCTTACAGCACATAAGGCACAAGGGGATCTGGCAGAGAATTCGTCCACTTAGTACTAATTTTTTCTGTGAACAGAATGAAGAGAAGACGTCCAAAGCACAAAACATGTCAAATATGACTGGCACTTTAAAACTATTAAAAAAACCCAACCTGTATTTATTTTAAAATGTTGTTCTTTGGCAAGAATTTTGAGCTTTTTAAAACAGAAAGTTTAAATGCAGCACCAGAGTTGCCTACAAAGCCTTATTTTGCAAATGCTTACAGGCACTCATATTTACTTATTTGAATGAAATTACATAGCAGCACACTGCATTATGGTAACGGCCAAATAACACACAGCTCACCTGTACTACAGTTCAGAAATAATACTCCCATTTCGTGTTCACATAAAGTAACAGTGCTTCTTTATCGAAGTTACCACCAAAGCAGAGAGCGTCAATAGGTAAAAAAAAAATATTTGCGATGATGAAAAGTTGAATATTCTTGGGTTTAAGGTCAAATGTAACAGAAGGATCAGTCTGATAATGTTCCTTGTCAGTGAAAACTTCCCAGTTTCATCACTTACTACTAAATTGCCTTCGAAAAAAATCCCTATTTACTACCTTTGAAAGTAGCCTTTATTTACACTGTGCGTGACACTTGGCAAGCCCCACCCAAGACCAGGACCCCAAAAGTTGCCGGCAGCAAACCTACGTTCGCATGGTAACCGCCTGTTTTTTCAAGGCCAGCCGGCGACTGTACCGCACCGGACGCTGCCAACTTGTGCCTCGGGTTAAGCATACATGGCACCTTCGAAACCAAAAGCATAAAAAGCAGCACCTCCTTTGCCTGCCAACACCCACTATATGGCCAGCAGAAGCGGGGCTTTCAAACTTTTTCATTTTACTTGACAGACCCTCACAGACACCCCTTCCTAGCTAGGAAGACCCCTATAATACATCAGCAGAAAAGCCTACCGTGTGCTTAAAAATAATAAATCACGGAAGAGGCGTGAGGCGGTTCGTGCGCTAACAGAGTGCAGTTTTTCAAATCCACAACAGAAAGGAAAGCGAGGTGGCAATCGCCCTTTCCAGAAACTCGGCGCCGGGAAGAAGGGGGTGTCCGCCTCCCCGGCCACGC